GCGGATTTAGACAAGACAAATTTTAGAGCCAACGTAAACAAATATGTTTAGAGTTTGCCCAAAGGATTAGTGAATAACGTGAGGTTATGACAGGATGAAATGAATGTCATAGAAGGGGAAATGTTTTTCATTTTTTTTTCATAAAAATTAATTGAGAATTGCAATGAATTGTCGGAAAGGGGTTGCTAGGAACTTTTGAAGGGATGGAGTAAAAGATACCCTACGGAAAGTGACCATTCCATTCAAGTGTAAATATCAAGTGCACGCAAATTTGATTGCGTATTCCTATATAAATCAGTAAAGAAAGGTAAAAAGTCGGGCAGGGCCGACTATATGGGTATCACTATCACCACTATACATATTTAGTAAAGCTACCGGTAACGAATAAATGTTTATATTGGGAATTTATATGAAGCAGATCATACCAACTATGAATCTTTTTATACCCTCTGACATATGGCAACAGAGAGTACATATATCCTTTGGCTCATCGAAATAACAGATTTAGACCCTAGGTCTCCTTGGACCACATCCGCTGTAGGACATTTGGAAGCGATCTGCCTGGCTGGTGCGCCCAATAACTCTCGAAGGGAGCATCCAATATCATTCAAACGCGGTACATCGTAATATTTTTATCAAACTTAGATCGAATTCGAAGAATATCGATCCACGTCTTCTGATACCTCCCCCACAAAAGGTCAATCAAATATTATCCCATTTTGTCCAAACTTTGCAAATTCTTACATTTCTATCAGTGCTAGCTCAGGTCAGCCGAGAATGGACAATATCGGCCCCTTCCATCATGGATCTCCCCCACAAAGGGCTTTAAGTTTTGAACAATTATAACTCTTATAAAATGCAAAATATGCATCCGATCCAACAACGATCCAAAATTTTGAACTACCATGAAGCTCAGAAGAGCGAAATGAGCCTCCGATCACTTTCAAACTCGGCACATCTCAATATTTCTACTATGAAGATGGAATATATAGGATTACTCTCCCACACAACAAGTCAAAATTTTAAATATTTTTAATTCGTATAAAATGCGAAATATGCATCCGATTATCTTCAAATTTCGCACATCCCAATAATTCTACTATCACAAGACCTGGTGTGAAGATGGTAGATATCGATTCACTCCTGCTGGTACCTCCCTTACAAAGTGGTCAACATTTTGAATAACCACTAAACTTATAAAGCAGCATCAGATTATTTTTAAACCTGGCACATCCTAATATTTCTATCAATACAAAATCAGGTGGGATGATGTAATAATTTTGAACAATTATAACTCTTATGAAATGTAAAACCAGTAAAGAAAGTCTTAAAGTCTGGCGGTGCAGACTTTATGATACCCTACACCACTTTGCTAATTTAGTAGAGCTCCGCATAAAAATTAAAAGTTTTTATGGGAGAATTCTATCATACACGCTATGATTATAATTATAATTTAAAGTTCAAAGGACTAAATATGCCGAAGCATTTGTATCTTTTAAATTCGGACTTGTATTGCCCATTTGGTGCACAATTAATTTGAAATCGGATAAAGATATATATGGGAGCTATATCCAAATCGGAACCGATCTCGATAAAATTTGGCGAAGATATTTCTGAGCTGTATTTGATATATTTCCTTGAATATCGTTGTTACGGAGTGCATATTACGGCTGTGGGTAACAAATATAACAAATCGGATGAACATTATATATGGGAGCTGTAGCTATATCTAAACCGATCTTCACCAAATTTGACATACTAGCTTCTAGACTAAATTCGGTCCTAAGTGCCACATTCCATCCCATTTGGACAAATATTAGACGTTTGGTGCACAATATAAGGTAAATCGGACAAAGTTATATCTGGGAGTTATATCCAAAACTGAACCGATCTCGATAAAATTTGGCACATGTATTTCTGGGCTGTATTTGATATATTTCCCCAAATATTGTTATTACAGAGTGCATATTACGGCTTCGAAGGACTAAAATAACAAATCGGATGAACAATATATATGGGAGCTGTGGCTATATCTGAACCGATTACGATCAAATTTGGCATACTTATTTGCAGGCATAATTTGGTTGCATTTGCAAAATTTCATACTATTCGGGCTGATATTACACGTTTGGTGCAAAATAAAATGCAAATCGGACGAAGATATATATGGGAGCTACATCTCAATTTTTACCGATTATCTCCAATTTCAACAGGGTTCGTCCTTGGGCGAATCAAATGATTTGTGCAAAATTTCATCTGGATAGGACAATAATTGCGAACTGTACTTTGTTTACAAAAATACATAGACAGACGGACAGACGGACGGACGGACAGACGGACATGCATAAATCGACTGAGAATGTGATTCTATGCAGATCATCAAAAGGAAATGTACAAAGACATAATACCCTGACCACCTTGTGGTGTAGGGTATAAAAAAGATTTCGAATGTCTTCATATTTCATACATCTCAATATTTCTAACAAGACAAGATCTCGTATGAAGAACAGATAGAATGGAGCACTACTTCTGGTACCTTTCCCACAACGGGTCTAAATTTTCAAAAACCATGAAGCACATCCCAATATTTCTATCAACACAAGATATTGTGTAAGGGTGGAATATATCCATTCATTTTTTCTGGTACTTCACAACAAAGGGTTAACATTTTTAATATTTATATATTTCATAAGATGTGAAATGAGCATCCGATTCAATATTTATATCTACACAAGATCTGGTATGAAGACGTAACATATTGGTCCAATCCTTCTGGTACCTCCCCCGCAAAGGGTCATAATTTCAATAAATATATGTATATATTTATCATAACTTGTGAAACAAGTCAGAGATTCTTGAAGTATCTGAATATTTATCTGAAACAGAGATTTGATGTGAACTCCTTCTGGTTCCTTAAAGATTAAAATTTTTATTAACAACTATTCGCATAAAATTTTAAATAAACGTTCATTAAATTTTGTCCCCAATATTTTTATTGGAATACATCGGACCACTATATCTAGAACCACCTCATGCACACTTCAACATTTTCCAAAAATAATCACATATCTCATATAGAGCGAAGGAAGTACTCGATATAGTCAAAATCTGACACGTTCTAATATTTATATCTGACTTAGCTACGATATAGAAAATATTGACCCATTTCATTTCGGTACCATCCGGGTCAACATTTAAATAATCATAACGCAAATCAAAATTTATTTTGATAAACGGTAATTTGCGGAGGGTATACATCGGTCGGCAAAACTGACTGATATTTTCTTACTTGTTTGAATACGTATTATGACTTTGGAACAGTTATAATTCGGAATCAGAGGGAATCCATCCATTCAATTTGGACTGATATTATTTGTTTAACAACACCCGCTATATCCATATCTGAACCGATCTCGATTAAATTTGGAAGAGGTATTTCCGAGCTGTATGAAATATCTGGTACCAAATTGCATTATTTTGGAGTGCACATTGCAAATGTGAGAGACTTTAATACCAAATCGGAAAAACATATATATGGGAGCTATATCTGAACAGATTTTCACTTAATTTGAAGTACTTTCTTTTGGGCTGAATTCGGTAAGATTTGTTCGAATTGGTCACCTTTGGCACGAATTATAGCCTTCAAACGGCCAATGAAACCGTCACACGCGAAGCGCTTGCTTGAGATGATCGACACTTTGGTATTTTTTAGTGCCAACCTTGCCTTCCAAAATACTCCAGCCACAATAGTCCAGCGGATTGGTATCCGGAGATGGCCATTGTGCGCTGGAAATAAAGCGAGGAACCTCATTTTGTAACCATTCTTGGGCGGCGCGTGCTGATTGCGATGGTGTTGAGTCCTGTTGGAATGTCCAAGGTCTGTGGCCAAAATATTTGCGTGCCCAAGGCTTTAATACACCCTCCAGAACATTTTCGCGATAATATTCGGCATTTATTCTGATGCCACGTTCGATTTATATGAGTGGAGAGCGACCATCGGCTGTTATGGTGGTCCACACCATCACCATCACCGGCGCTTGAGTTCTGGTGGCCAACCGAAGGTTCACATTTTCAGCTGACCTCTTTGGCAAGTAAACACGATTATTTTGTTTGTTTACAAACTGCTGAACAACAAATGTTTTCTCATCGGAGAAAACCAAATTCGACAGTTTACCACTTTAGCTCTATTTTCTTTCTGTTTCGGTGTAAGTTCTGGCACTTTTTGGAATTTCAATGGCTTTGCTCCGAGGTCATCTTTCGATATTTGCCGAATGGAATATTGCGATATGTTTAGCTCATGAGCCAATTTTCGGTCATTGCGACGCGGATTTCGATCAAGTCGCTTCTTTACTTTTCGAACAATTTCTGCTGATGTTGCTGTTTTCTACCGTCCACTCCCTTGACGTCGGGCTACGCTACCACTATCACGGTAACGAGTGATGGTACGAGACACAAAGGTTTATTCACATTTGAATGCTGGAGTGCTCTAACGATAGCCACTTGTGGTTTTCCGGCCAAATATAAAGAAATCACACCATCACGCTTGAAAACCATCACGAATAACTTTTTTTCTCGAAAAATTCTCACCAAAATGCTTTTGTACCCTTGTAAACAATATAATGAGCTGTCACTGGAAAAATTTTAAAAGCTGTCGGACGAGTGACTTAGAAATGTCAGCAATCTGAAGTTGGTTGCAGTTCTTTCATCTCACCCTGTATATATAGGAGATATATCTAAATTTTCAAAGATTATCTCCAACTACAATAGAGTTCGTCCATGGTCCAAACAAATGGTTTATGGAAAATTCCATCTGAATCGGTCTTTAATTGCCTCCCGTACTTTGTTTACAAAAATACACAGACCGACGAAGGAAAATGTGTTTCTATGTAGATCATCAAAAAGGAACTTTGGGTCTCTTCCGTTTCCTTCTGCATGTTACAAACAAATTCACAAAAACAAAATACCCTATATCACAATGTGGCGTAGGGTGTAGAAACGTATATTCTTTAAAAATTTCTGGTTTTATTTCAAATTCGTTAATTATTAAAACCCAAAACTTAATATCTAACTATATAATATAGTATTGAAAAGAACAAAAAGTTCATCCACCACGACATGGTATTGGTTGGCCATTGTGTTTGTATCCACAGGGAGAATATCTTACTGGAGCTTGCAGCAATAAAAAGCTTTGTATCTAATTAAGAAATTTCAAATAAAAAATAAATATTAATTATACATATTAACTATTGTTTTATGCTCTAAATATTTACATTATCTGTTGAATTCATTGTGAATGCCATTTCTTGGCCTCTCAGACATTTGATACTTATTATTGCAAATAAAATTAAATATAAAATTCTGACTTTCATGTTTATGCCGTAACAGATGGGGCCAAACTAAATGATTAATATTCAGTGCAGTGCAATTGTTGTTTACGAATAACTTAAGCTTGGGGAAAAGCTTTGAATTTTGCTGATAGGAATATTAGGATGGGCTGATGAATGCAGCTTGGGGTATTTTTATACCCTACACTACATAGTGGTAAGGGTATTATGTCTTTGTGCATTTGTTTGTAACAGGGAGAAGGAAGCGAGATGGACCCATAGATACTTTTGAGGATCTTCACAGAATCACTTTCTGAGTCGATTTATGCATGTCAGTCCGTCCGTCTGTTCATGTATTTTTGTGAACAAAATGCAGGTCGCATTTATTATCCGATTGATATTAAATTTTGCAAACAATATTTTTTTGGCCCAAGGACGCACCCTTTTGAAATTGGTGATAATCGGATCAGATTCAGATATAGCTCCATTGTATCTGCAACCGATTTCGGGTACATTGTGCACCAAATTGCCAATATACCTTCTATTGACCTGAATTTTGGTATATCCGACCGAATTCAGTGTAGAAGCAAGTACATCAAATTTGGTAGCTATATATATGTAGCTATAATAGCTCCCATATATATGTTTCATCCGATTTGGGATTTTATATCCCTCACATGCGTTATATACACTCCACAAAAATGATATTTGGTACCGGACATCAAATACTGCTCGAAAATACCTCTGTCAAATTTCATCGAGATGGGTTCACATTAGGATATATCTCCGATATATTTCTTAATCCGATATCAGGTTTATTGTGCACCAAATGGCTAATATGAGCCCACATGGACTGAGTTTTGGTAATTTCGACTGAATTCATCCTAGAAACCAGTACTTCAAATCGGTTCAGAAATAGCTATAGCTCTCATATATATGTTTTATCCGATTTGGTGTTTTAAAGTCCCTCACACGCGTAATATGCATTCCACAAGAATGATCTTTCGTACCAGATATCAAATACAGCGCTAAAATAAGTGTATCGAATTTTGTCAAGATTGGATATAACCCCCATAAATATCTTCAACCGATTTCAGGTTAAGTGTGCACCAAACAGCCAATATCAGTCGAAATTACCTGAATTTTGGGACATCCGATCAAATTTAGTTTAGAAGTAAATACATTAAATTATGTGAAAATCGGTTCAGATATAGCTATAGCTCCGCTTTATATGTTTCATCCGATTTGGTGTTTAAGTCCCTCATATTCGTAATATACAGGGTGAGATAATAAAAACTGGAACAAAGTCAATCGCCATAATTTGTACATTTTTTTGTCCAAATTGGTCACCTTTGGCACGAATTATGGCCTTCAAACGGTCAATGAAACCGTCACACGCTGCCCGAATGTTGCTCTGCGGCCGGGTATTCCCGGCGAAGCGCTTGCTTGAGGTGATCGACACTTTGGTATTTTTATACCCTACAACACTATGTGTTGGGGGTATTATAAGTTTGATTGGGCCAAAAATTATGTAACACCTCGAAATATTGGTTTCCGACATAGGAAAGTATATATGGATCTTCTATCTCGCCAAGCTGAGTCGATCTAGCCATAAATGTCCGTCTGTCCGTCTGTCCGTCTGTCCATGTTAATTTGTAATCACTACAGGCGGTATCCGAAATACACAAAAGGCGAACTTCTGGCTTTTTTATGCTGATTTCGTTGACGAATATAGCCAAATATCGTAGAGAAGCAAATCATATAGATGAGTCTAAATTTGGAGATACAGGGGGCTTCTTGCTTTTGGAGATGATTGCAAAATATTTAGGGCTTCAAATTAATCGACACGTCTGTGAAGAGAGTTAAGGACAGGGAAGCATTCAAACATTTTGGATAACCATTGGATTATATTTAGCTGTAAAGTGGACTACAACAACTAACAGCCCGACGGAGTACATAAATGTTGGGCAAATGTCCCTAGTCAAAATCCTAATTTCAAAAGCGAAATCTTGCAAAATGGATTTGGACATAAGGGGGCTTCTAACATATTGTAGTGTTGTAGGGTATCACATGGTCGGCCCCGCACGACCATAGCCTTTGCTTACTTGTTTAGTGCTAACCTTGCTTTCCAAAATGCTTCAGACACAATAATCCAACGGATTGGTATCCGGAGATTTTGGTAAGCCAATGTGCGCTGGAAATATAATATTCGCCATTTATTTGATACCACGGTCGATTAATACCAGCGGAGAGCGACCATCGGCTGTTATGGCGGCCCACACCATCGCCATGGCGGGCGCTTGAGTTCTGGTGGCCAACCGAAGGTGCACATTTTCAGCTTACCGCTTTGGCAGGTAAACACGATGATTTTGTTTGTTTACAAAATGCTGGACAACGAATGTTTTCTCATCGAAAAAAAAAACCAAATTCGGCAGTGTACCACTTTCGGCCAAGCGAAGCAACTCTTTAGCTCTTTTGAGTCTATTTTCTTTCTGTTGCGGTGTAAGTTCTTGTACTTTTTGGAATTTCAATGGCTTTACCCCGAGCTCATTTTTCAATATTTGCCAAATGGAATATTGCGATATTTTCCGCTCACGAGCCATTTTTCGGCCACTGCGACGAGGGTTTCGATCAAGACACTTCTTTACTTTTCGAACCATTTCTACTGAACCATTTCTACTCTTTTCCATGACGTCGGGCTAAGCTACCACGGTAACGAGCGATGGTACAAGACACAAAAGATTGATTCACATTTAAATGCTGGAGTGCTCTAACGATGGCCACTTGTGGTTTTCCAGCCAAAAATAAAGAAATCACACTATCACACTTAAATTCTATCACGAATAACTTTTTTTCTGGAAAATTCTCACCAAAATGCTTTTGTACGCTTGTAAACAATATAATGAGCTGTCACTGGATTAATTTTAACAGTTGTCGGACGAGTGGCTTAGAAATGACAGCAGTCTGAAGTTGGTTGCAGTTTTTTCTTCTCACCCTGTATACCACAATTTGAACCTATATGAAAAGTTCTTTGCAAGGATGTTTCCTGCATACTGGAAAATTTTCTCCTTAATTTTTGCTCTAAATTCTCAAAACATATTTTAGAGCATCAAATTAGAAAATGTTGATCTTCGTATTTTGTTGCTTTATATGTTTATAGGGTGTCTTTAGATATCGACCCAAAATACTTTCTTACCCACTTACCATTTTGTTTTTTAAATCTGCTTTTCAAGGTCACATAACCGGAATGTCGTGACAGCTTTTTATCGTCCTTATTTTTAAAATAAATAACAAACAGTCTCCTTTCCAATACATACATACATTAAATAAATTTGAGAAATTGTGTTGTTTCCATTCATCCAAAAAGGGTTGAGGGTTGCAAAAAAAATTTTAAATTTCTGGTCACTTGTTGGCCATGAATTAAAAGTTCGTTCTGACTGCTGACTGAAAAAAAAACAAAACATCCCCTTTGTTGAATGAAAATCCTAAAGGGACAACAATTTATGTGCACTGCATGTTTAAGGATTTAAACTTCACAACCAAAAAAAAATTTGAATTTCATTGCTGTTGTTGATTTTGTTGTTTTTTTTTTTTTTTTTCCTGCAAGTTTACTAAAGTCTCCTCATTCTCTGTATTTTAAGGACCCATATTGACATTTGATGTGTGTGTGTGGCAGCGATGGCGGGGTGGCCAGTGTCTATGTATCTGGCATCCCATGCCAAACGTGTCTGGGGTGTGGTCAATTTGTTTGGTCATGTGGATCGACATTGCACGTTGCATTGACTTTTATCTCAATGACCATGCAACAACAACAACATGAGGCAAAAATGATAATGCATGAAAAGTCTACACGCACGGACACAACTGTACCCACACTCTTGCATCGCTGCTGGTGGATGTAGTAGTCGCCTTATGGCCCAATAAACAAAACATTTTCACCCAGCGGTAGCAGCTCCTGACTTCGTCATTCACTGTAGAATCCTACCTACGATTTTTTGTTCCAGCAAGCACTTTGTTATAGACAGCAAGGATGGAACGAACGATGCGATTCAAGTATCCTTCATATGTTGCATTACCCTGCCAGACACATTTGCATGGATTCCTGCTAGGCTGCGAGTGTTTGTGTGTATGTGATACGATCCCTGGTATCCTTACGTGCAAGGGTGATTATAAATTACGAGGGTTGCATATAAATTTATTCGGATTTTATTATGAATATTTAATTGTATCCGTTGTATCTATTCAATTCACAGCACTCCATATCATTCCCATTCTTCTTTGTTCTCCCCTCCCCTTGTCATCTTCCTCATCATCATAATTTTCAATGATTACAAATTTGTTGTTTTTCTTTTTCTCCTCATAATTCGAGTGGAATACTTTTAACAAATTTAATATTTATTTAAATCATTGCCGTCGTTGTTGTTGCGGCTTGCATCTCCATTCATCTAATTCCTAGCAGCCGAAGTAAGAAGTGGAAAAAACCTCACCTTTAACCACAAAATGTTTGGGGTTTGGTTTCGGTTTCATTCGCCGCCTTCAGCCACAACGACAACGAAGAGTAAATTAAAAACCAATAAATCATAATTTGTAAATAAAATTAGTCTGCAAAATTTTCAAAGCCAAAAAGCAAAACGTAAACGTAAAACTTTTATCGGAAATTCATTAGAGTGTCCATCTCGGAACAGGAAAGCCTGTGCCAAAGACCACATATGGTTTTCAACTTTAAATTGTACTTAGCACAAAGGATACACAGTGGGTGAATGGGAAATTAAAAATTATTGATATAAAATGTGAATGTAATAATTAAATTCACAAATAGCGCCAAGGCACAAGATCTGCAAAAATTGTCTCTTTACCTCCATAGTTCATAGAGAGCAATTGATTTGATTCAATTTCGATAAATTTGATATTTTGCACGTCGTAAAATATGTGCCTAAATCAAATGGAAAACTTTACAAAATCGGCCCTTACTTCGGTACCTCCCACGCATCAAGTCAAGAATTTAAATTACATAATTCTTTAATATTCTTAATGTATCACACATTTAAATATTTAAACATAAGATAATACTTTAGGTACATCCCT